ACACGTTTTCACCATTCCTACTTGTTATCTGCAACTATCGGCTTCTCTTCTTTCTCGATTCATCAAGAGTCCCTACATCTTTATTAACCAATTTGCACAGAACGATCATAGGGAAACCGTCACACCCGCAACCGTTTGAGAGGATGGCGGCGAAAGGTACATGTACCAACCCTAGGAATCGTCGCCGCCGTCATACTGCACCCTAAATCACACGGGTCGCAAGAGCAAATGGTGGCGCTCGGTCACAAACCAACCATGCAAACAGGGGAAGAACCAAAAATAAATGGTTCATATGGGTGAACAGCAAGGCATCCGCTATGCTGCCCCCAAAAATGGATGTGTTTTTACACTACATCCGATGGTTAAAATACCATCTGAACCGTGAGCGCAATGCCAACGAGGTAACCTTTTCCCCTTCTAGCTAAAGAGTGTTGTCGAGTAAGCCAAATCTCTATTGACCGAGAGGTGCCCGGTTCCGAGGCTGACTCTTGTCTCTGCATCTCTTCTTTTACTGTATGACGAATGGTGATCAAGTATGAATGATTCCGTGGCTGTTGTTGTGATCAGGGTCCCATGAATACTTCTCCACCAACCTCCAACTGACCCAGTCTAAAAAAACGGATTTCTACCCTACCGCATGAGAGACTTGGACCCTAGGTAGTGACCATTTGAGACTTCATTGGATTACGCGTACCCTGTTTATGACACCTTGAGTATGGTCAGAGCGTTCGCCAAGCAATCAGCATCGTACTGTCGTTCTCTTTCTAAGAACAGTAAGGTTGTTTACCAGTATACATCAATATATGCACAAGACTGCATGCATATATGCAAGTAATGGCATGGTTGGATATTTGTGTGTGATTGGACGTATTCGTGGCTGTAGGTACAAGCACGTCGGGAGGTATGAAAAATGTGACACGCAATTACGGGCGTGGGTAATCAAGAGTAAGCTAAGGTGACTCGAGTCTGTTTGTTTCGCGTTACATGCTCATACCAGTCCCTTACAGATAAACGTTCAAGTGGCCCCTACTGGATCGTACTAAAGAAAACCCCTCTAAGTGAGGCGAGAATTCCAAAAGCTGTCGAAGCGCATCGAGAGCACGAGCTCGATTGCGCAAGAAACTGGAAGCTCGTTTGGCATCAGCCGCTAGTCCTGTGACCTGACCTTTAAGTGTTACGCCGGCGAGGCTGAGCTCCATAATCTCGTATCTTAATGTTTTCCAAGGTTTCTTGTGGTCCTGAGTCCGTTTCCGCTACCTGTTTTTTACAAGGTTGTTGCGAGCCACAATCTGCTATCAGCTAGTCTGCACGGGTTCGTGATAAACAGATCACAACACTTGGACCTCCAAAAGGCCTTTGAATCTGTAAACACAGGCTACTGCCCCTGAAATTTAGGGCCTTCAATATTCACCCGAAACTGCTTGCATGGACGGAAGGCTTCCTGAGATGAAGGACGTTCCATGTCAACATAAAAGGGACCAAATCGATAGAAGGCAGGAGAGCAAGTGGAGTCATGCAGGGGTCAGTTTTAGGCGCTCTCCTATTCCTAATCTACGTCAATGACTTAGCGACTTGGATTGAGAACCCAGTATTCATGATCGCAGATAACCTGGATCTGTTGAGTTCCCCCTAAAAAACAAGCCCACGCAGAGTGATTCGGGTACCCACATACGCTGGACTTAAGACTGGAATCTATATTATATATACATATATTTCACACTTGTCTGAGGACAGTTGTGTGCAAACAAATCATGGTACAATAATCTTTATAAAAAGGAAAATGTTCCATGATTGGCTTGTGGCCTGAGTACTGCAGGTTGCCCAGGCCAAGGCAGGTGAATTTTCTTGAGGAATCCACAACCGGATCCTTCGGCTAGCCAAAGCCTGACCCGCAAGGCAGCGGGGCGGTGTGCGAAAACCGCAGTCCATTGGGAGCCGGTGTCCAGTTCATCGGATCATACGCCCTTCGGACGGGGCCAGACGTCCAAGGTGCCCAATAAACCTCAATGCCCAATCGAGCCGGTGACCATTGTCACAACAAGGAAGCTGNGGAATCAGGGTTTTTGGCCAACTCCCCTGGGTGAACTGCCAGTGGTCCACCAACCCGGCTATAGCCCCGGATATCGGCTTTTCGTCCTTTCATTTTGGTGGGAAAACACCGCCGCGAGAAGGCAGTGAGTAGGGCTTCCTCAGCAGAGGCTATTTGGGACGCTTGGTCGTATGGGGGCATTTCATGAGGTGCAAGGGCAAGGTGACCAGCCGCAACCCTAGACACCCACCCCCGACCATACTGAGGCTTTTGGAAACTGGAATCTACTGCTCAACGTGGCTAAGTGTAGACAGCTGATGGAAACTGAAAGCACCCGCCCGGTAAGGTGTATCAGCATTGAAAACCCAGTGAAAATCCGAAGAATTGATGAAATGAGGGACCTGGAAATTCATATAATCAGTAATTTCATGAAAAGCAGTGCCTAGTGACGTAAAGCGAATAACGCACTGTACCAACCGTTGGTAACTGTGGTCTCGCGGGATCCCGATGTGTTATTACCTCTATATTAAGTCTATGTGAGACCACACTTAAAATACTGCATTCAAGCCTGGTCGCCATACCTGGAGCGATACAGGAAGGTCCTAGAGGCGGTTCAACGCAGTTTCACGAGGTGCTCCCCTCACCTTAGGGGGCAAGACTACTACTGTCTATCTATACGAAACATATTTTCCCTGAAAAGGAGACGCCTTAGGGGCAATCTAATAGAATCCTTTAAGAGTATAAAAGGCATAACTGATACGGGTGCTTCAGCGGTCACTGTAAATGACAGCGTGGCGTTACGTGGGTACTCTTTGAAATTGGCAAAAGAGCGTTCCAGGCTGGAGGTTCGAGCATAGTTCCTAACAAACCTTATGGTGAACAGCTGGAGCAAACTCTCAGAAGCAGTGATCACATAAACGAGTGTCATGAGCTTCAAGCACAGACTGGCTGACTGTATTCTCTGATTTCGAGTGATCAGTGCAAGATAAACTATGGGCCAATCTGTGAGCCCCACGTTAAAGGTAGTCTTATATCTCGTTAGTCTTCCTTTTTCGTATCACCCTTTTTCTTTATAACAAATACCTCTTATTTTCTATCATTTATGAAGTACAGCTCTTGCGATCTCCAAGCCTTCATTTATACCCTATACTAACCCGCCGGTAAAGCGTGCCTGGCTTGAATTTCTCGAATAGAAATTATTATTGTTATATTATATTTCATACTTGTCTGAGGACGGACCGTGTGCCAGGTAAATCATAGTACAATAATCTTTATAACAAAGAGAAACGTTCCATGGTTGGCTTGTGGGCTGAATACTACCAGGTTGCCCAGGCCCAAACAGGTGAATTACCTTGAGGAATCCACAACTGGAGCCTTCGGGTAACCGAAGCCTGACCAACAAGGCAGTGGGGTGTGTGTAAAAACCGCAGTCGATGTCCAGTTCATCGGATCATTCGCCCTTCGGACGGGGCCAGACGTCCAAGGTGCTCAATAAACCTCAATGCCCAATCAAGCCGGTGACCACTGCCACAACAAGGAAGCTGTGTGTGTGTGGTTCGTACTCCTACTCTTGGTTGGTTTGGAATCAGGGTTTTTGGCCAACTCCTCTCCGATCAAGCGTCTCGAATAGCCTCTGCTGAAGAAGCCCTACTCACTGCCTTCTCTTGGCCTCCGCCAAGAGAAGACAGTGAGTAGGGCTTCTTCAGTAGAGGCGATTTGAGACGCTTGGTCGTATTGCAGCATTTCGCGGGTTGCGACGGCAGGGTGACCAACCGCAACCCTAGACACTCACCCCCGATCATACTCAGGCCTCGAGTAGAAACCGGTGCAGGTGTTGACCCTTAGTTGACTGGAACCTACTGGTATTACCAAATAAACACTCCAACATCTCGTTTCCATCTCAGTTTGACCGTCATCCGGAAACCAGAATAGGAGAGCCAAGAACAAGAGATGTTCATCGAAGCAGACACCAAGTGGAAAAAGCCAATGGTGGTCAAGATAAGACCTGGCACGAGGGTATGAAAACCCTAACCAGGAGACTGGGTCGTATAGGTCCTGTTAGGCTCCCTGGCTGGGGACCTCTGGATAATCGCAACCGATGGTTAAAGACACTAAGTGATATGGCTGGGTATCGTAAACAGTGGCGTTCGTGCATCTCAATTTCTTTGCAACCTTAGACCACTAAACTTCTCCATTTTGTGTTCGACTCCACTTTCAACTTTCCTTCTATTCTTCATCCAAATGGGCAGCCAAAAGACAGTAACCAAAACCGGCGCATGAATATCTGCAGTTAATAATTATACAAACTAGAAATGAAACTGATACGTTGAACGCGGCTTTGTTGAAAGTGTATTTTAGCTTTTAAGATCCTATACCTTCTGATTGTCTGACCATGCTTGCAAAACGCTGATTGATATCTGATGGGTGGCGTAAACAGGAGGCATCTGGGATTTCTCGGGATTAAGAAGAAGAAATAGACAGATGGGAAAGATGGTTGTCCAAATGGGTGCCTAGGGCTTTAGGGCACGGCACACTTCGCGGCAGCCCACATTGACGGACGGGTTTTTTTGGGAACCCTAACCGGAGCGTTTGGCTCAAAAGTCTGACCCACAAGGCAGTGGAGCGTAACTCCAAAGCGGGAGCGTAAACGAAGCACCGGCGTGGAAGCTTCTAGAAACCTGTCACGCAAGTCCTTTGAATTTCGGTCCAATGAAGTGCAAAGACTTCTCCCACCGTCGAGATGAAGCCCCAGGTACCCCGCTCCTACGTCCATCTAACAGGGTTTTTTTGACCGGTGTTCATTTACTGGAGTGGTCTCTCCAGGGGCTGGAGTGAATAGTCAAGAGAAGCCAGGGGGTGCCCAAGCAACTGGCTTTGTGAGACTGAGCTTTGTCTGGCCTCTACCCATTAACCTTTTAGGCATGATTGGATCTTCGGTTGTGAAAAGCTATCCTGTGTAGCTCGCAGGGTTATGGAGGCACGCAAGCCATCACACCACGTCAAGGTGAAGTCTCGTCGTGATGACTTCTTTATTATGGATGCTCTGTCTACTTTTATTGCAGATGGTCTCACTAACCGGTATGCGACGACCTCTGGTGCTGCGTATCAGGTGAAACAGTCTGACTATTCCGTGATGCAGAAGCTACCTCCATTTCACCAGCTAACCAGCAAATCTAATCTGATTTCACTGTCGGTCTACTCCACTATGTCGCGGTTCTCCTAGCCCCTGTTCCAGATTCCCCTCATTACGTTCGCAGACAGATGGATTACGCAGGAAATGCTGGGCAATTGAGGAAGTTTTTTCTGCCAATGACTGATGATTCGAAGAGTGAAGCGTACCAGAATTAGTGCATGATCCCAATCAATGCATGTGATCCAATAGGATTTGCAATTTTGTGGTGAACCACGCAAACAGTAGCTCATAGGCATATGATCAATTTGGGTCAACGTTTCCGTTGAACTAGAACACCATGTAGCCGTTCGACGAGAGTTGTGTCGGAAGTTGGTGCTAGATAATAACAGCTTGTGATCCGCGCAGAACTGAAGTAGTCGATCACCGTTGTCTGTTCGCTGGGCGGGAAGGGCGAAGTGCCATCCTAGACAGGGCTCGGATGCGCTCAGTTTTCCAACCTGCACGTTAAAATCACCTGCCAGCACTGTAGTATCAGAGCTGCTTCTCAACCGAATCGGTTGGGTGAGTTTGTCGCGAAATCCGTCCTTTTGTGAAGTGGGTCTACAGTTGGTTGGTGCATATGCGGAAATGATGGACAAACACCTTTTGGTGTTGCTACCCTTCCGAACACTTACTGAACCCTGGAGCCTCATTGCGCACAATCGACTATTGACGGGTATCCAGTCTATCATACAAACTTCAGCTTTTTCATTTTGTACGATCACTACACCACGTTGACCTAGTGAGCGGGCTTCGTCGTCTCCTGATGTTCGAAGGAAATACCTCGAGGACAGAACCGACTCACCCACGCGGTTTATAATACTAAGATCCTGAATTCGTGTCTCCGATACGCAACAGACATCAATTTCTAAAGACTTCATTTCACGCGCAGGACACGCTTGTTGACCCATCTATATATATCCTCACGCTGAAGGCCCCCAGATTGAGAGATTGGCGAAGCTTTAG